CAAAAGGGGGCTTGGCAGCCCCCAAGCCGCGGGGGGCTGGCTGGGCGGCAGGGTCAGCCGGCTCGCACGCAGCCCCGCCAGCCTTGACTGCCCCTGGGCTGGGGCCACTCACTTCACGCCGGACTGTCCCAGCTGGAGACTTTTTCCCTTGCCTCAAACCAGTTCCCGAACCTTCTACCCACTGGTCAGGCAGTCCTTCAGGAGCAGCGTTCAGGTCTGCTTCCAGCCCCAGACAGCCTTGTAGCCCTTGAAATCTATTCTTCCTTCTGAGTCTTGCTTCTTCGGATGGAACAGCTCCCCCCACCCCCAATTTGATACCTAGCACTGAAGCAGGCAAGCATCCTTTGGGGTCCCGACCTGCTAGGAGGAGCAGAGTGAAACTCTCCCTCATTCTCCGTGCCATACCTTGGTTAATGCATCCTGAGATTTGCATAAGTATCCGGGCAGCTCTGTGGTGATTCATTAGGAGCTTAGGTCAGCTTACACCTGCTGTGTGTTTTCCCCACTGGCTTCTCCCCCTACGTTATCGTTCTATAGTTGACTTGAAAGACCAGAATGTGGATGTTTAGATTTATCTCTTGTTACCTGACTGTGCCTGCTCCAGCTTTTGGATCCTTTTTCTTGATATATTTGCTGCCCTTTTCAGCATTTTTCTTAATGGCTTTAAACTATCCAAGTGGCTTTCAGTCATCCTTGGTCACTACCTGGTCCTTTCTCCCCCAAGAGTAGCTACAAGGAAATCATTGCTTTCAGTATTGCTTCTGTTCTTGTGAAGCATGAGTCTCATTCCTCAGGGGTATAAACAGAGCTCCCCTGAGAGTGAGAGCTCGTGCTTTTCCTCTGCCTTCCTTCTTGCATCTCTGTGGGAAAGTGACCTGTGCCCCCATCCACCTGCACGCTCAGAACTCTGCCAGGGTCTCAGGGCAGGAGAGGGGTGCTGGCAGAAATGAACCCTCCGTCTTCCTGGCAATGGGAGGTTATGACCTGCATGCATTGCCTGGGGCTATTGCAACAAATTCCCATAAAGCTGGTGGCTTCAAGCAACCCAGGGCTAGCTGTCTAAAGGCCAGGTGTCAGCTGGGTAGTGTCCTTTTGGGGCTTCTGTGGAAGGGACTGTCCCAGGCCTGTGTCCAGCTGCTGCTGGTGGCTCACAGCCCTGGGTGGTCCCCAGCTTGTGGTATCACACCATCCTCTCCCTCCATCTTCATGTGGCCTTCTCCCAGGTATCTCTTTCTCCTTTGTCAGGACACTAGTCACTGGGTTTATAACACACCCTGTATCCACGATGGTCTAATCTCAGGATCTTCAACATAATCTTGTTTGCAAAGACCCTATTTACAAATAAGATCCCATTCACAGGTACTGGGGATGTATTTTGGGGGGGATCTACAGAATCCACATAGGAGGGATGGCCATTCCTTGTGATGAATAAAGTCTCTGCTCAGATGTTTTTGGCAAAGTGGAGCGTGAAGGACGTCGGCTTATAGATATACATCCTGGTACGCATGTGGGCTCCAGGGAATCCTGAGCACATTCTATGGGCAGACCTGGGGTTCCTGGAGAGTCTGAGGGACCAGGGACAGCCCCCCTCTGCTCTACTGAGAAAGTAAGCCTGGCCTGGTTGTGATAGGCTTTGACCCTGACTCCCAGAAGGGGGGGTCCTGAGTTCATTTCACCTCACCTCAAACATGATAACCCTTAGTCCTCTCCCTCCCAGGGCTGGCCTGACGTGGTCGGAACATCAGGCACGTTCCAGTCTGCACCCTGCGATTACTTCCTGATCTCTAAAGAATTGTATGGAATCAGCAGATTCTTCATGAAGTTACTTGTGTTTAAAATTGAGGCAGGTTTCAGGGTTCTTGTTTTATTCATGAGCCAAATGTCCACAAGAAACGTTATAACTACAGAATCAACTCTTCATATGGAAAGCTTGACCCAGTGGTTGAGTTTTTAGATAGCAATTTATGTGATAGAATTCTGGTTCCCCTAAAGAATATGGGTAGTCCTGTAGGAGTCCTGGGGAAGAACTTTGGTCTTGGATTTCCTATTAAACACAGATTTTGATGACAGTTTCAAAGGTGTCTATACTTTTCCTGGACAGAGTTTCTTGGCCTAGGCCGTAATATCAGTGGGACTGATATAAAAGGTGTGAGCCGGGAAGGGCATCCCGTCAGACTCACGGCCACGTGGTACTTGTGGCAGGTACAACTGAATTGCTCTTTGAGGTCCGTGCAAATCTGATTTGGGCATTTACCCATCAGCCTCGAGGTTAAGACTATGACCGGCCTCCAGCAGTGGGTGCTGCGACGGACAGACAGGTGGCGTTGGGGGACACTGTAACAGACGGATGTAGTATCATCCTGTGTGATGTGCTCGGATGGGCACGGATCTGTGGGGCAGGAACTCACCAGTCACCGAGCATCACTAATGATGATCTGGAAGCAGGGCCTTTTGAAGAATTTAACCAAACAGGTGAAAGTCTGCGAAACTCCCATTCCGGGGTGTGTCGATTCTAGGCCATCTGTGGGCAGATCCCAGGCATCTCCAGACTTCTCACAGGTGTCCTCTGGGGACACTGGCTGTGGGTGGATTCTAAAGGGTTGTGTCAAAGGCCTCATGCCAAATGGCCAAGGTGAGAAGCTCTGGTCCCCACGAAGCCACGCTTGTTGTCGGTGCATCTGCATACCCTCCTGTCAGAGGGAGGGGCGCGGGAGGAACATTTGCAGCTGCCATGGGGTCCTGTGGTTTCCAACCAGTGGGTGTGCTGCGTTCCAGGGTCAGGCCCTAGCATGGGGAGTGGTGGGCAGGACAGATGTGTGGACAGATGTGTGCCGCTCAGACACTCGGTACAGAGGAAGAGGCACTGACTTGCCTCCACGGGCATGAGTGCAGCCATGCTGGAGAAGTCGGGGGGTAGGAAGTATGGCATCACAGGAGGGAGAACTTGAGTCCTTGGAGCCAGGGGGTCGCCCTGCGTCAGCCCCGCGTTCCCACAAGCAGGCCGAGGATGGTGTGTGAGGGGAGGGTGCAGCGGGGAGGTCCTGTCGGAGCGGGTATAGGAAAGGCACCAGGCAGAAATGAAGAAGGGATTTTTGAAAAACAAAATGATGAAGAGCTTAGCCTCTTGGCAAGCAGAGCAGGAAAAGGTGTGGGCATTCATAACCCAGTTCCATTAAAGAAGAGTTACTTGGTGACGTGGGATCCCGGTTCTGTCAGGCTGCCGTGTCCCATCTCGCCCGCTGCTGTGGGTGCTTGGAATCCTCCGAAGGAGGCCACTGGAAAAGTGCCACTGTGGTAGGTCTGTGACCTGACCCCATCTGACACCTTGTGTGTTTTCAAAAATATAAAATGTGTGGATATGTGCTTGAGTAGGCACAAGAAATTTCCGGCAGGGTATTTCAGCAGCCGGTAACGAAGGTCCCCTTTGGGGAGCAGGACTCCCAGTTACAGCCACTGGAGACACTGGGCAGGAGGACGTCCCACGGGGGCTGTGTTTATAATGCTGCTGTAACTCGTCTTGCTGGTTGTTCATGTGATGTAAGAAAAGAAAAACCCTGTGCTTAAAAAAAAATCCATCTGTAATGCAGAGTCCAGTAAAATATATTTGCAGAGGATTTATTGAAGGAAGGAAGGTTAGAAGGAAAGAGAAAGCAAGCAAGCGAGTGAGCAGACCCTTATCCTGCCACTTGTTCAAGGCTGGAAGGCAGGCTTTATTCAGGACCAGTTGTGGGGGGTCAGGACACAGCGTGGGGACAAAGACTGGCCTCAGCTCGGGCACAGCAGGGAAAAGTGGGGACTTACAGCCAAGGAGGAGGGGTGGGGGGTTTGGAAATTACTGAGGATGCATCAGGGTAAGAAGGTCGGTGCTTTGACCAACCCAACCTAGCAGGATTCAGGCTGAAGGTGGGCTGGGGGGATCAGACATTTCCTGAGTGTCAGTGGGGGACCAGGAACCCACCACCCAGTGAGGGCGATCAGATATCAGAGCATGATCAGATATCAGAGGGTGGGGAATTTTGGCTAAACCAACTTCACTGGATTCTTGCTGAAATTGGGCAATTCAGGAGTGGACGTGGTCATCTACAAGGTGAGACCTAGCTGGGAAGAGGTTTAGAGGAGCCCCAGTAAAGCTCGGTCAAGGAGCGGCACGGCCGGGTCCATAGGAAGACCCGGCACGTCCGTGCGGAGGGATCCACGTGAACGGACCTGTGAGCATGGACAAGCAGGGTTACGGTGACTACATGCACGTGTGCGAGTGTTTTTATATTGTTAAAAAAATAGGTCCCTAACAATCTAGAAAGATAACATCTCATAATTTTTTTTTTTTTTTAATGTCTGGAACGTCTGTGGAATGGGCAGGAGTTTCACGAGGAACTGTAATGTAAAAGCGACAGATGTCCTCGTTGCTTCAGATGGAGGAGAGAGAGAATTGGAGGAGCATAACATCCAGGGCCTGTCTTCGCTCTCGTACAGTTCCTAAGCTCACTGGGACAGGCAAAGCAGGGCTGCGCACTCAAGAGGCTGGAAAGAGGGTGCCTGGGTGTCTCCGTCGTTAAGCATCTGCCTTCAGCTCGGGTCGTGGTCCCAGGGTCCTGGGATCGAGCACTGCATCGGGCTCCCTGCTCAGCGGGAGGCCTGCTTCTCCCTCTCCCACTCGCCCTGCTTGTGTCCCCTCTCTCGGTGTCTCTCTCTCTCTGTCAAATAAATATATAAAATCTTAAAAAAAAAAAAAAAGAGGCTGGAAAGAATAAAGTACCAGTGGCTTGTCTGGGGCCAGTATAGACGAGTCTGAGTCCAGGAGAGCCTGGGTGGCGCTGGCAGGGGTGAGGAGGTGTGAGAGGGTACAGGAAGGTGGCCTATCCGCAAGGGAACAACGAGAAGTGGCAGGGTCCTGATGCACGCGATGAGGTCATGTGATTGCATGTTGATTGTCATTGTCATGCAAGGAGCGTGATTTCCCAGTCCTGGGCGGTAAAAATATCCCTTTATTTTATTCACAGGTTGTACTCTGACTATCTCTACTTCGCAAGTTCGAATAAATCTGCTGATGACTTCCATGAAAAAGTGACAGAAGCTCTGCAGCTGTTTGAAAATTGCATGCTCGATTATTCCTTGCGTGCCTGCGTCTACAACAACACGCTCAACAATGCCATGCCTGTGCGTATCCTGGAAGCACCCCCCCCCAGCACAGGCGCCTCGGTGCTTATTATGCAGGCGGCATGGTGGATGGGATGGGAGCACAGAGCCACAGAGAAGCGTTTGAATGTGCAGATGCCTTTCCCCGTGCCTCTGAGCAGTGGCTAATGCACAGGCAAATACGCGGACGTAAAAACTGTAAAAGGGATGGGCCCTTCGAGCGGGCACCAGGTGTCCTTCTCTGCTGATCTCCCCAGTACAATACTCTCTCCTCCCTCTGCGGGAATGAGGGTGCATTTAGGAAGATTACCATATAGTGAGGCTCAGAAAACGCACTGTGCGATTAGGATTGGCGACACGGGGACCCGCTCTCAGATGGCCTGGAGCACATTCTCCCGTGGTGGATGGCTCTGGTGCTTTAAAATGTTGCCAGTTGGATTGACGCGCTCCTGCCGGAGTTTTTAGTTTGTCAGAGGAGCTGCACACAAGGGCACAGATCTGCACAGAATCTGGCCAGGGGTGTAGGGTAGAGGAGTGGCCTGTGGAATCAGACGGTGCAGTTCCCAGCCTGGGTGTTTATTAGCTGTGTGACTCTGAACAGGTGTTTGAGCTTCTCTGAGACTCAGTGGCTTCCTCATAAAACGGAGTAATACGGTTGCTTCACCCAGCAGCTGTAAGGATCAGAGCAATCGTTCATTCACATGGAGAACAGAAATAAATAATCCTTTTCTTCCAGCCGTAGTCATAGTGTTATTGGTTGGGGCCCCGTGGATTAGACTGACAAAAGACAGATGCGCAAGGGGAAAAAAACCCCACAAGTTGATTAACGCGTGTGTTGCAAATACACTTGTCTCTGATGAGTAACTCAGAGGAGTGGTTAGATCTCAAGCTTATATAACATCTTAACAGGAAAAGGACTTTGAATTTCTAGGGCAGCAAATGGTGGAAAGGCAAATAAACGTTTGAGGGAGGTAATGGCTGGTAAGGGCAAGCTTTAGTGAGGTTTGTTATGTCAGATCCTTAGTGCTGTCTGAAGGCTGGCAGAGGTCTAGAGTTGTCTCCAGTGACAAACTTGGGTCCATCCTGGTGGAGAGGGGGGAAGGGCCCCCTTACAAGTTAATGTACTGCTTGTAGGCCAACAGGGTGAGGGCAGAGAGCTCTTCTATCTGTGTTTCTTAGTTCCCTTCAGCTCAAAATAATCCTGATACCAAAGTGGCATATTTCAGGCAGCGTATTCTGTTCTGCCATCCTTCACACGCCTTCGTCATCTTGCTGGGTCTGGGCTGGCACCTGGGCTGGGACTGCAGCTGTGGCAGGACTGGCGTGTCGCCGGGTCCCGGGTCAGTGACATAGAGGCTGGGGTAGGAGCAGAGGCTATCTGGACACAGAGTATCGGGGGGCTTCCCAGGAGAGGTAATGTTTGAGCTGAGGTTCGAAGGATGAGTCATCTAGGGACATGGAGATAGATGTGCAGGAGAGGGGAGCAGGCTGTACAAAGGCCAAGGGGTGAGCTTGGGGGGGTGTTTGCTGCAGCCGCCACAGTACGTGGTTGTCTGGATGGTGGGGCAATGGGAAAAGGGAAGTGTGAGCCTGCATCCCCAGGAACCCAGTGAACCTTGGAAGTCTGGACACATCCTGAGGGAGAGGGTCCCCAGGGAGGGCTTAAGGCCAGGATTGCTGTAGCAGTTTTGCATTTGAGAAAGATGCCCGGTGTCCTGGGTCCCCAGGGGTGGGAGGGGGATCGTCTCCCAGAGGCAGGGAGGCCAGGGTGGCGACGGATGGGATTTCTGGAAGAGGATTGGTGGCGGAGACAGGGTATGAAAAAATGGAGGTTTCTAGAAGCAATTAGGAGGAATAGTGGAAAAGATGTGTAGGTGGATTGGATGAACGAGTGAGATCAGAGGGGGAAACCGTGTGTTTTCTGGCTGAGGTGCCAAATACAGTTTTTGCTTCAAAATGGCTCTGACTCTTAGCTGTTGCTTTTTAATCATGATTATTTATGACCGTAAGGGTCATCCATGCAGGGCCTGCTGGACAGAAGAGCCATTTTCTGGAGATATTTCCTAAAAATTCAAGGGCGTGGCATGAAATGGGGACTGGCCTCACTTACAGCTGAGGCTCGATTCGTCTCCAAAGGCATATCTTGGGTGCCCATCCCGTGCTTAGTACCGTGCCCGGTGCTGGAGGAAACCCGAGCCAGGGCACGGCCTGGAAGAGAGGGAGGGCACGAGGCAGGATAGGGCGAGCGGAGGTGACTTACCCAGCTAGCATGGTTCAGAGAGGTGCTGGAACCATCCTCTCCCAGAGCTGTGTAGCATGCTTGTCAAGAGACAGACGGGTTACTCAGAGTCCAGTCATTTGGAACAAAGAGAGGCCCACGGGGGCTGCACGGCCTGGCAGCAGCAGAAGTGCAGGCCGGGAAGCGAAGCCCCGGTCCAGGTGGATTCTTGGTTTCATTATTGTATCGTAGAATGTCAAGTATGCGGAAGCAGGGAGGGAAAAACAACTCAAGAAACCATCACGTGAGGGGCCGCCAGGAACTGTGTGTGTGACTGTCAGCACGGATCCTAGTGAGGCATTAACGAGGGGGCTGGAGAGGTTGGGAGAATGGGCCTTGGCAGGCCCAGCCATCTTATCTGCCGTCGTCGCTGGCTTCAGTGTGGACCGATGGCCGGAAGACTTGGATTTTGTCACACGCATAGAGCTGTTGCCATTAGCGCGTGTTCCCGTTCTTATCGTCTCTTTTACCCGCTGAGGTCTTGCTCTCCCACATCCCTGGCAGTGTGACTACTGAGCTCTGTCTTCAGGAGGTGATCCCGCAGACACTCTGAAAGGGAGGCATCGCTGTGGGCTTTCCCTCCCGGCCTTGGATGAGGAAGCGCTTACGCCGGCTGGGTTTGGAAGGGCAAGGCCAGGCGAGGCCGGGTGGGGCTCCTTCCTGGGGGCGGGGCTCATTTCGGGGGCTTCATGTTGTGTGTTGCTCATGGAGTAGTGAACATCTGACCTAAACGTGGTGAAAAAAATGAACATCCGTGCCGCCGGGCACTCTATGTCCCCCGGAGCTGGCCGGGCCTCCAGCCCCTCGGCACCCTTGCCGGGGAGAACAGGGCGGCGGGATCCAACCTTTGTTCACTCCAGACACTGCAACAGGCACCCTCTTGAGCTCTCGTGGTACTCCATGTTCTACCCTCCACGCTGCCCTGAAATCTGTGCCCATTTTACAGATGAGGACACTGAGGCTCCCAGACACTCATGGAGAAAGGGAAGGCACTTAGAGCTGGTAACAGGCCTCATGCTCGTCCCAGGTCCTGTGGCCTTTCAGACTCATGGCGTTTCTACCTTAGCTGGTTAGCTCCCAAGGTCTAAACTGACCTTTTGCGCTTAGTCTCAGTTTTGCTGAGGATGACGAGGTGGTGGCTTAGCGGTCAGAGAGAGATGCCCAGGGACAGGATGGGTAGACAGGACAGGGGTGGCGGGCGTCACGGGTCACAGACTGGCCTTACTCCTCAGCCCCTGACCAGCTCCTGCAGGAAGGGCCGGTGGCTCCAGACATTGGTTTCTTCAGCAGCTCAGCTCCACCTCTCCCGCGAGGTCCGGGCTCCAGGCAGCCAGGGCCCATGTTGGTGACATAGCAGCATGTCTCCATTGGCTCGTGGGCCACCTGGCGTGCCGTGTGCACGTGACTATTTGCAGAATGAACGAGTGAACACGCGAGGAGTTTTCGCCACTAGCGGATGGCAGATGGGCTGGGTGGGGAGTCCCACCTGAACCCCTGATGGGGAGCGGAGAGGCTCAGCATAGTGCCTGTCTGGGAAGAGCCTGTATCCACCTCTCCTTGGCTCTGTCCCCATGTGGGGGAAAAGCCCTGGTGGCGGGGACCCTGGCACCAGCTCCTCCTGCTGGTGGGTGCTCCCAGCTGACCTCGGCAGGCCCCTACCCCTCCCTGGGCTTCCCTTTCTCCATCAAGAGTTGGCTGGGCAGATCACCTCAAAGGCTTTTCTTAGTTCTGAGATTTTGTCATTTTTAAAAAAAGATTTTATTTATTTATGTGTCAGAGAGAGCGCGCGTGCGAGAGAGCACAAGCAGGCAGAGAGGCAGGCCGAGGCAGAGAAAGAAGCAGGCTCCCCGCTGAGCAAGGAGCCTGATGTGGGACTCGATCCCAGGACCCTGGGATCAAGAACTGAGCTGAAGGCAGTTGCTCAACCAGCTGAGCCACCTAGGTGTTCCGAGATTTTGTCATTTTAAATCTGTCAGACACTTCTAAATACCCTTTTTATCTTCATTCCGTTTTGATTCTCTGGCCTCTGCGGGGAAAAGGCAAAGAAGAACTCTGAGGGGGCTCGTCCTAGGTGTGTCTTAATGGCATCCTGTTGTAGTGGTGATGCCGTGTGAACCAGAATGTGTCACTCGGGCGGCCAGGGCTTCCCTGGAGTGGCAAGGGGGCGGGGCGGCCCGAAGAGGGGCATGTCTAGGGGACCAGGGAACCTGCCGCTGCGGGAGCCAGCCCACCTCCCTTACCCTGCAGAGCCACCTCCCCCGCCAGGGCCTTTGCCGCCCGTGAGGGAAGACTCCTCCTGGGAGTGGCTGTGCGGGCTCTGCCCCGATGGCCACAAGCAGGCTTGCCGAGAAATAGTCTGTCACATGTGGCCAGGTCAGGTGTGGGTTCCTGGTGATGCTACAGGGCCCCACCTTGTCGCAAACACCAGCTTCTTTCATTCTAGAAAGTTCTCAGGTCCCAAAGGTAGGTTCTCTGGAAGAGATGACCCTCGTGAGGCCGGTCCTCCCTGAGGGGGATTGGCCATGGGCCTGACAGAAAGTGGAAATGCTCTGGGAGGCCGACGACTCAAGAAGACCTGCTCATAATGGTTTGTCGTGTTGGAGGCGATGCACACAGGATCTCTGAGGCTGGCACACACGCAGGTTCTCTCTGGCTTTGGCCCAGCTTGGGGTCTTTGTTACGGGCTGGCGCACGAGGAAGCGACATCCTGGGAGCTGGCGGTACCTAATGGGTTTTGGAGACAGCTTATCCCCTCACTGTTCTTCCTCTGCATCCTCCCACAGGACTGGAAAAATAACAATGTGGGAGAAGAATAGTGGGAGAGTAATCGAGTCAGCCAGAGCCCGGCCGGCCTCGTGCGGCAGGGATGACGGAGGAGCCTGGGCCTTCAGCTTCGGGAGCCGAGGCCCAGAGGGGCCGGCTGGGGGCTGAGCACAAGCCAGACCAAGAGCTTGCCACGCTGGGAGCGTGGCGGGGCGGGGCGTGGGGGCCGTTTTCACGGGTGGCCGCTGAGGGCTGGGTGCTGGGAGACTAGGTGGGAGCACCAGAGAGGAGGCCGTGGCCGCGGGGCCTGATCGGGGCAGCTGGCATGAGGCAAGGCAGAGGCCGTGGAGGGAAACAGTTGGGAAGGTCGCCGAGGCAGAGCAGTCGACAGGAAGTGGAGCAGGGTCCGGAGGACTTGGGGAGGCGGGAGGAAGGAGAAGGGGCGGCAGGGTGGAGGGGGAGAGGGCTGTTCCCTCCGCAACTGTGAAGGTCTTGGGAGTGTGCCAAGACTGCTCTCCTTTCTGACATAAGTCGGGGTCCCCAAAACCACTTCTGGGGTTCAGTCCCTGGAAGGAATCACGGGCACACTGAAGACGGGGACTCGTGGTTACAGCAGGGAGGGGTACCCGTTAAAACCCGTGCAGGGAAGAAGCACGTGGTCTGCACCAAGCATTCCAGCCAGGGAAGCCCAGCCAAGCCTCGAAGGCCACACTGTGTCCTGGGGCACAGTCACCTACTGTCTTTACTGTCCAGCCCCTACCACAGGTCAGACTGATCCTGGGTTGCCAAGAGCCCCTGTCATCACTCATGCTGTTTACTGTCAGGTGGCCCAATGTCCCAGGCGAGCAAAGATACTTATCAGGTAGGATATCCTAGGTGACCCAGAGGTCACCTCCCAGGAGCCAAGGACAGGGGCCAAACTTCCCTCCGGGTAGGGTTAATTCTTCAGTGTGTGTTATCTTGCCAGGTAGGTGTGAGCAAAGGCACAGGCGCATGGGGACCCGGACATGTGACTGCCTAGAACAGGCTGTGTTTGGCCATCCACACAGCCTCCTGGTCCTGGGGTTCAGGTGGTCCCAGGCGCTCGGCCTTTCCCTCACCTGGCTTGTGCCTGAGGCGTTTTCATGGCCACCGTGTGCTGGGTATAGGAGCAGGAGCGCCCGGTTACTGCGCAGAGAACGTTTGCCTGTTCTGTGTACGGGCTGGGCCTCTTCCTTCCTCGGCCTTCCTTCCTTCCTTCACTCCGGAGTGTGCCCTGCTGCCAGCTACGGGGTGGTCATGAGGATTCTGTGTGGCCCTGAGCAGGAAGCATTTGTGTGGGGAGCTCAGAACCCTGCTTGAGGACCCAAGAACGCTCGGGGTTCAAAATCCGTCCTTTGAAGGCAGCTGTTCACTTGGATAACTCTTGGTGTTGGCTCATACCCGTGCCCGAGCGCTGTGGGGAAAGCGAGGGGGGAAGGACCCTCACGTAACGCCTGCCTCCTCCTTTGGTTCTAGGTGAGGCTCCAGGTCGGTCTGTATGCCGTGTACCTCCTGGACTGGCTCGCCGTCTTTAACAAAGAACAGTTTCTCATCCTCCGCCTGGAAGACCACGCGTCCAACGTCAAGTACACCATGCACAGGGTCTTCCAGTTCCTCAACCTCGGTAGGAATGTCACGCGGGAGAGCGTGGGGCTGGCACAGACTGTGCACCCCGCGTGGCCGAGGTGCTCACTGAGTCACAGGCAGACTCCGTGTGCCGGGCCGGGCCTAGCTAGCTCAGTAGCTGTTTGCCAAGTGCAGGGCCTGCATCTGGGGTAGAGAGGGGTCCCTCATCGGGGAGCTCTCAATCCAGCAGAGGGAGACAGGAAAGCCACAGCTCAGGTCATCGAGTAACTGGTAGAATGAAGCGGGGGAGGGGTAGCACCCTTGCTGTAGGTTCACACACGTGACTTGGGGTCCCAGCTGCTGAAGGATGGAATGGAAATATTCATGGAAGGCATGGTCTGTGAGCTGAGCCTGGAGGATAGGTCAGAGGTCAGTGTGTGGCTGGAACAGTCCTGCAGAGGCCACAAGGCTTGGAGGAGGGAATGGACAGTTAATTGCATCATCCCAGGTTTTTGGGAACCCCTGGAGTCGGGGCCGCGTAGTTGAGCAGCATGTCTAGGAAGGTTCGCTGCTCCGGGCCATGGTGATGGCCAGCAGGGTGGGAGTGTGGACACGGAGTGCTGCCCATGTGGGTGGCCCCCGCGAACCACTTGTTGAGGATCTAGAGCAGAGCACACGTTCTTCCCCAGGACTCACCCCGTGGCCCCATCTAATAATCTGGCCTGGGAATTCTGTTGTTGGAATATTTCTTGAAGTACGTGGGCCCACCACTGGTCTTGGAGCCCTTCTGTCGTGGGTGAGCTAGTGGCATGAGGGAGGTGATCACTTTTCCCTGTGACGGCCCAGAACCATTTTTCTTTTATTTGACCCCTGGTAGATCCTGCTGCATTGATGAGCTAGTCCCTGAGACAGGAAAGGCCTGTTATGTTCCTTCTATTATGTACATCCCAAGGACACTAGAATAGGGTTTTCTGTGTAAAGGCTCAGGACTTTGGCCAAATCCGGGGGGCCTGAGCAGTGATCTGGTTGGTTAAGCCACGGAGAGGTCTGTGGTCTAGAGGGCTGTGGATAGAGGTGGCTTGTTCCCGGGCCTCTCTCCCCACCGGACCCCTTGTGGCAGGTGGACCCCTTGCGGCTCCTGGGGTCTCTGGACACAGGTGGCCTCCTCCCGGCCCCCATGGCCACTGTACAGCATGATACACAAGGTGAAATATGGCGCAGCCACAGGCCCTTCGCATCAGCAGCCTGAAGCAGAAACGACACTGGCAGAACTCGGGCAGGCTGGTTAGCAGGAAAACCTAAGTACAGGGACCATGCCAGGTGGATCAGACAGTTATCCAGGGACAAGCTGACGGCCACGAGAGCCAGCCCTTTGTGGCTCTGTGGTCATGAAAGCAGGAGGGGAAGCTCGGGTGAGGCTGCATCCCCCAGTTCCTGCCGCACGTCTGAGGGCAGGGGTGCAGCCCCCAGCCGGACAGTCCCTGCTTCTTCACGAGGGCCCTTCTGCGTTCTGCCCTCAGCAGCTCTGGGATGGGTCCAGCCGGAGAGTTTTCATCCCCCAGCGCTTCGGGGGAGCTCCTGTCTCAGCGCGAAGCAGGGCTGGGGGTTTTGCAGGGCTCTTTCCTGTGGTGCCTCCGGCCTCACGGGAGCGTTTCTGTGTTCCAGGGCCCTTGGGGGAGAAACAGGAGACCCTGATGACAAAGAGCCCCGCGTCCAATGCGCGGCGTCCCGAGGACCGGAACCTGGGGCCCATGTGGCCGGTCACCCAGAGGATCCTGCAGGACTTCTACGGGCCCTTCAATACCAGGCTGGCCCAGGTGCTCGCCGACGAGGCGTTCGCCTGGAGGAAGACCTGAGGCCGAGCTCCCTCGGCGGGTTCCACTGCGCCACCATGGGAGCGTGTCTTTGGGGGCAGGCAGGGGGGCCCTTTCATTCACAGCCTGGAGAAAACCCTGGGATTCCTCTTGCCCTCCCTAGGCACGTGTGTAGTATAAGCATTTGTTGTGTGGGATAACCTGGCGACTGACCCTCACGGAGCTCCTCCGTCCGAAGCCACTGGAAACCCCGCTTGGGAAACCGTTCCCTCCCGCACCAGAGCGGCCAGGCTGTGGGGATGAGGCAGGCGGTGCCGGGCGAGGGGCCACGGGGGAGGCACGGTGGGGGACTGACTATGCTGGGAGCCCCATTGAGCACGCCAAATGTCATATCATCAGGCCGGAGGTCACGTCACCAGGCCGGAGGCTGTGTCGCCATGCCAAAGGTCACATCACCATGCTGGAGGTCACGCCACCACGTCAAAGGTCATGTCACCACGGTAGAGGTCACACTGCCACAGTAGAGGTCATGCCACCACAGTAGAGGTCACACCACGACAGTAGAGGTCATGTCCCCATGCTAGAGGTCACATCAGAGCAGTGCCAACATTTACACTTGGTTCAGTTGTGGACACTGTTCGGGTCAGTACCTTCATTCGGGCAGAGAATGGAGGCTCTTTCCTTTTATTCCCATTTACTCCAACGTCCACCTTTATTCTCTTCCGTTGTAAACCCTGTTCACTTCACTTTTGTGAGAGAGAAAACAGTTGATTTTTGGTAGCATATTTGCTTCTCGGACCATCTCCTTCTGTCCTTGCGTTACTGAGGTTAAACTAGAAAATGAATGTTTGAAACCACTTTCTGCATTTTGTTAGCCATAGCTCTCTTTTCTGCCTCTTTACGTGTTTCCTCTAGGGTTTATTCCGTTTATAATCAGATCACAAATTTAGTTTATAGTTGGGAAGTTTTCGCTGTTAATGCCAGACTGAGCGACTTCCAGGAATTGAACCCTTTGTGGGAAGTCTGGGTATCTTGGGCCTTCCGCACGCACTCAAGGCTGCTGCCAGGCCTGGAGGGTGTTTCAAGTTTTAGTTCTGGCCACAGACACACTCTGTTGCTCTGTCTTCCCCCCCCGCCCCCACCCAGGAATGAGCTCATTATCCACATTCTCCACCACATGCGGCCAGAGGCCTTCAGTATGTTCACGGACTACAGGATGCTCGTGTTCTGTTTCAGAAACACAGTGAGCTCTACATGGGCCGAGCATAGTATGCTGGGATTCTTAATGGAACTTTCTGGGCCGCTTAGCAGCTTGGTTTACCAACAGATGCAGTAAAAGTCTCGTCATGTCTTGGAAGTGATGGGGAGAGATTGAAGAGGACCCTGGAGCCCACTTGGCACACAGCCCCAGGCGCGACCTCACTGAAGCTTTGGCCTGGTGTGTTTTCAAGGGAGGTCTCCTGCGAACCAGAGCTCTCTGGTCAAGGTTGCGCAATGCCAAAGTCCGAAAGTGCAGCTGCCTTCTTGTCCGCCCATGGCAGACACGCGGATTCGCCCTCCTCTCAGCCCTGGCGCCGCCGTCTTCCTGCCACCAGGAGGCGGGATGCACGGGCCGTCCGCCCTGGGTGGCCGAGCTCCTCCTGCACCCGAAGGGGCCGTGTGTCCTCCAGACCCGCTGTATGGGACAATCCCACACATGGAGCGGAGCCCGTGGGGGAGTCTGGCCCGAGCCCAGCGGGGGCGGGGGGCTCTCACGGTAGCGTGTGTGCGTGCGTGTGTATTTATTTGCAGGAGGGGGTGTGCGTGTGCATGCGTGTGCGTGTGCGTGGGTGCCTTTCCTGGGTGGGCTCCCTTCCGGGTCTGTTGCTGATGAGACGCCTCCGCCCCACACACAACCTTCTCGTGGATTCGTTTCTCTGCCGACGAACTTGTCTCGTCCAGTCCACGTTTTGCTCTCCCACTCCGGCCTCGACGACGACGGATTTTCCTACGCACTCCTATGCATGTGAACAACATGTAGTATAATTCTACTTCTTACAGAAGTATTACCGGAGGTATGATTTCCAATGTTATTTGGTTTATCCTGCAAATCTTTCTGTACGCGCAGGCCCAGCCCTTTGTGCCAATCCGTGCCATCCGGTTTCTCCCATGGGGCCTTTCTCGGGAGGCCGTATCTGTCGCCTCTGCTTTCTCACGTCCAGGCCCGGTTCTCGGTGGCGGTCCTCGAGCCTGTCGTCCCAAACCAAAGTGAAAGGGAGCATTTCTCATGACCTGGTATTGAAGTGACTTTGTGTCCCCAAAGTTGCGTATTGGACCGTGTTCAGTTGTACACCCCTGGTAGCGGAAGGTATGTTAAGTGAACCCAGTCACGCTGTACTTGTGTTCATATTTCACATTAAATGTGGACCCCTGTGACCGTCGCGGGAGTGCCTGCCATTCCTCGCCCTCCTGATCGCCCGTGGCGGGTTCTCCATGGCATCTGCTGCGTACAAATGAGTCTCATTTGTACTCATTCGGGGTCTCACCTGCGGGCTCTGCACACTGGGTGAGGGCACCTCCTGCGTATGGTGATGCGAGAGAGAAGGTCACAGAAGGGAGGGCCCTGACGTGACTCCCCGCTGAGCAGCCTGCCGTGGGTGCATTGAGGTGCCAGGGCCTGCCCCCAGACAAAGCCTCATGTGGGCGTCAGCCTGTGCATGTGAAGATGGGGTGACCGATCCCAGGCCCTCCCAGATGCTGCTTCCCTCACTCCTGGGGTCTGGGCCTGGGGGCAGTTAGTTGGAGACTCCTGGTGTCATTGGCTGTGTGTCACTGTCACTAGACCCTCCAGGTCCCCTGGCTGCACTGGGCTGGAGGAGATGGGATGGTCTCCAGTTTGGGGTTCTGGAGGCCTGGGCTCTCCTGGGGCCAGTGTGGCCCATGGCTTGGTCCCCTAGTTCTGAAAAGATCCTCTGGGGAGAGTCTCTCTCCCAGCACTGTCCCCCAGAGTGGTGTGTTGTGTGAAGGGGGCCAGTGAGTCCAGACCTGGAAAGAGGAGGACCCCATCTCTTGATGAGGGAGCCAGGAACTGCTTGGCTCTGCAGAGAAAATGGGCCTGATTGGAGAAAGGGGGCGGGTGGCCAATGAGTGTGCAGGAGAGACAGGGGAGTCCTGAGGTTGGTTGAGTCCCTATCCTGGGAGCCTTTCCAGAAACCCTCTCCTGTGTGGACACCCACCCCTACTCGGGAACCAGCTTGCAGGGAACATACTTATGGAGACTGTGTACATCTTTGTGTAAATCTCCCTTTGGAATGACCTCTTCCCAGAGGCCCCTGTTTGGGAACTGAAGCAAAGGCGGAGCTCTGGAGGAGTTTCTGGCCTCAGCAAGCAGGGAGGGAGAGGTCTCGGGCGTGGGCTGGCGGGTGTTTTCCTGGTGCTCCAGAAATCTCACCCCGTGGGTAGCTCCCCTGCCTGTGGGCGAGGCAGAGCCTGTTAAGACTCACAGGAAGAATCACCTTCTCAGAACCTTCTAGGGCCAGGCTCCTGCCAAGCAGCCAGAAGAGGGCAGGCCCACGGGCAGGGACCCAGCAGCCGGAGCCGCAGTGGCCCTGGGGACCTGGGTTAGCCACTCTCCGTTGCTGGAGCACATTATGCCACACTTAGCCCCTTAAAGCAACACACGTTGGTTATCGGGGAGTGCTGGAGATCAGAAATCCACAGTCAGGCTCACGGGGCTGGGGCCAAGGTGTGGGCTTTGTTCCTTCTGAAGATGGTTGGGGGTGGGGTCTGCTTCTCTGGCTTTTCCAGCCTCTGGAGGCGCCCCCCTTCCCATCGTTGGTGGCCACTGACCCTGTCCTCAGTGTAGCATCCTCAAATCTCTCTCTGACTCTAGTTCTGTGGTCATGTCACCCTTCTCTTGACTGGCCCCTCTCTCCCCTCAGAAAGACTCTGGTGACTACTCTGGCCTACCCAGATGAGGCAGGATCTTCTCCCCGTCTCCGGGGCACATCTGTGAAGGCCTGCTGGCCACATGAGGGGACTTATTTACAGGGATTAGGGTGCGGACACCTTTGGGGGGGTGACTGTTCAGCTGCCCCCAGGAGCGGGTCCAGCCAGCCAGTCAGGCCATCCGGGGAGTTGTGCCCCTGGCCTGTCCCTTTCAGCTGTCCCCTGGGGGGCCTAAAGAGATGTGAGTGGGCTGGCGGCTGCCCAGCAGAGCACCAAGCTTCGTGACAGGTCCGTCCCAAGATGGTGGTGCATCTTTCTGTCCAGCAGGGTCCTGCGGCTGGGGTGAGTGGGGCAGCAGGAGGCCACGCAGGGCCAAAGACACACTTTTTTTCCAAGGTCACATCGCAAGTCATTCTTCTGTGTGTTTCTCCAAGTGAGCCCAGGGCTCCCTGGCCCCAGATAGAACTGTTTCTCCCTCTCTGAGCAGAAGTGATTTCTGAGTGCTTGCAAGTTTTTTTTTTTTTCCTTTACAGTTGCTTTCTCAGTTCCCTAGGAGACCACAGCAGCCACGTGGGCAGTTGTGAGTTTCTGAAGTTCAGCTGTTTCTGAGTTAGTCATATTTGAAGGGGAGCAGCTTCTGAAGGCTACAAAAATAGTTTGCATGGTTTCTGGTCCCTGAGAGAGCCCGGGGGGCCGTGACCTCTGTGGTTTCATGCTCCAGAGGCGGCCCGGGGAGGCTGACCTCCAGACTCTCTCTCCTCGGCCATGCCTCCTGGCCCCACGCTGGACTCAAGTCCACGACCTCTACTTTGTCTCTGCTCCCAAAGCCCTGCTGGGGCGGTTGGGACCCCGTCCCCAGCCTTCCTGCCCTGCCCCCCACCCCCGCCGCCACCCTCCATCCCCTCCTCTGCTGACCTGCTCCAGTGCCAGGGCTCTGAGGGCTGTGTCTGCCCTGGGCTCTGCGGGCCATGCACATCGCGCCCCCACCCACCCTGAGCCGCAAGCCAGGGCTGAATGCTGAGGTGGAACCTGCGTCTCTTTGCGTGGCTGGGGTGACATCTGGCCCTCCTGAGAGCGGCTGCATCCTCATGCCATGGGCCCCTGACAAGACTCAGGCCCGCCCTCACGCCCTTCACCATTGCACTTAGCGCTGGGCAAGGAGCCACTGGTCCATTCATTGCCGGACGGTGTTTGCTGGCCGCCCTGGGGGTGGGGCACAGAGGACAATATGAGCCCCACCCCCACAGTGGGGGATTCCTTACTGGGGAAACAGCATGCGGAGAGCAGGGAGGCACTGGTGCTCCTGTGGCTTTCTGGCATGCACCCTCGCTCTGCCTGCTCTGAAAGGCCCCTAAAGTAGGCTCTAGAAGCAGTGAGGTCTATTGGAGGCTGACTCCTGGGCCTCCCCGAGACGCATGGCTTTCCCGAGACCACATGGTGGTGGACAGCGGGGACCCAGGGAAGCCAGGAAAGGCCGGGTCTGGGGTATCATGATGGGAAAGCATCTGGCTTCTCCCCAGGTCGCCATTCTTCACCATTCTGCCACCAAAGTGATGGGCCGACTGGCACCCACCGGACTCTGCCTCCAAAGAGAGACAGCGCGGGATGGGGACAACGAAATGAACGTAACTTTGTTCTGCCAACAGGTCTGGCCGCGGAGTCACCTGACCTCCCACCTACAGGCTGAGGGAGGCCTGGGGGCTGGCTCCAGGGGCCAGCAGAGTCATCGAAGTGGGCCGCCCGCCCCCAGGCTCAGCCCCGCACTGGTGTCTCACATCAGCTAGAAAGTGTGCACAGAGTCAAAATTTAATTTTTTAGCCAATGTTTCCTGAACATCTGGTCGGTGCAAGGCCCTGGGCCGGACGTGGGGGTGCGCTGCACCGGGAGCTTGTTTGCTCATTTGCCGATTCCTTCACCCATTCATTCACCAAGTGTTTTCGGGAGTGCTGCTGCGTGCCAGGCCCTGAAGGCTCCCAGGAGAGCAGACCCAGTCCCTGTCCGCGTGGACCCAGGATCTCGTGCCGCAGATCCATACAGACCAGAGCATCACCCACGCGATCCCGAGCTGCAGCAGCCCCGGGGGGCCGCCTGCTCCTGCTGTGACCCCCTTCCCTCCCAAGGCCACTCCATTCCCCGTGAGGCCTCCCCCTGTGGCAGAGACCCAGCCTCCCCCAGATGGCACGGGCCCCGATGCCAGCAGC